TTACGCATCAAGGTACCTTTGGTTTCCCAAGAACAGAGGCCCCTTCTCTGCCTCCCCTTCAAGTCCTCTGGGGCTGACCGTGGGAAGCGATGAGATGTGGGTGGAGTTTGCTGTGCCACGTTATAGGAGACCAGGAAAGTCTTACTTACGGGCTTCTTTTCAGCTCTGACAGGGTTCACCTCTCCTCCCACCAGGGAGATGGTGGTCCATGCTGGGCACCCCCTAGGAGGACAGACCAGAAGGCAGCACCAGCCCAGCCTGGCTGGGAGTGAGGGAGTGTTCTGGAATGGAAGCCGGTGCTCCTGCTAGAAAGGAACCTTTACTGTGTGATCGTGGACAGGCCTCCATTTCCTCTCCGGGCCGCAGTTTAATTCCATAGAATGTTGGTGTTGGATTTGGTCTTTAAGACCCTTCTTAGCTGGTGTGCTATGTCACTGCCACCCTGTCCCCCTAGACTAACTGGGACAAAAGGAGAAACAGCAAACACCAAACCAGCTGTTCGGAGGCTACACATATACACACAATTTCAAAAAACCGAATAGATGGTTACTGTGGGCAACAGGGAAGAGAGACAGGGTAAAGGGGCAGGAAAAACTTCCACTTAGTTTTTGCTCCCTTCCAATAACTCAATTTTTTTAGAGCTAGAGTCATGTTCTGTTGCCAGGCTGAAGTACAGTGGCACGATCATAGCACACTGCAACCTTGAACTTATGAGCTCAGGCGATCCTCCCACCTCAGCCTCCTGAGTAGCTGGGACTACAGGTGCGCACCACCATGCCCAGTGAATTTTTCTTATTTTCTGTAGAGATGGAATCTCACTGTGTTGCCCAGGCTAGTCTTGAACTCCGGGCCTCAAACGATCCTCCCACCTCTGCCTCCCAGAGTGGTGGGATTACAGGGGTGAGTCACTGCACCAGGCTTTCTTCAAGAACTCTGAAGCAGGAGGGGTGACGGAATATAACCACCTCTAACACAGGTAGTCTTGGACAAGGTACAACAAGGCCATGGTCATCTGAACTCCCCTGGGCTTCTTCATACAGGGTCACGCAAACACATACACAGACACACACACACACACATGCACCCTGTCACGATGCTCACAGGACGCAAGCTGCACCCAGCCAGGGAGGGAGAACTCTTCCCTGCTATCAGAACTGCCCATCAGGCAGCCGACACTCTGCTCTGCGGCCACATATTCTACATGACAGACCGCTTTCTCCCTGACATATAACCCTTGGAGCCCCCAACACATAAACAGCAGCCTGGGGGCCTGAACTTGGTAGATTCAGAGGCCCGTCAGCTTCCAAGGGCACAGAACAGAGGTCATCCGGGGCCAGAGGGCCAGAGGAGTGCTCTCTCCGGGCAGCGCATGCATCTGTCCAGACTTGGATGACCTCCACAGACAGCGGTACCAATTCCCCTTGGGCCGGTCACCAGGACGACTTCCCAGAGCAGCAGGCCACTTGCCTCCACCCCACTGCTGACCATCAAGAATGATGGTGAGAGTGTAAGTGGGTACATTGCCCAGGGAGGGCCACTGGGCAATATCTGTCAAATTTGCAAATGCATATACCTTATAATGTAGCAGATTGTATTTGTAGAATATACTTAACACACGTGAAATGACATGTGTACACAAGTTGTTCATCACAATGTCATCTATTAGTAAAGAAAGGCATAAGCTAGACATTCATTCGTAGCTGATTGGTTTCATAGACTGTGATATACACATATGATGGAATAGTAAAAACCAGTACGCTTTTGTGTATTGATCTGGTAAAATCACAGATACGCATTAATAGTTAAAATCAGCAAAGTGCAGAATTGTGGGTATATTTTACTATTATTTATGTAGAAAGAGAAGACAAAAGAATATATATATTTTATTGACTTGTATGTTCATAAAATATTACTAGAAGGATAAACAAGAAACTAATGGTAGTTACCTGTTATGGAGAGGAAAACTGGGAAGAAGGCAACTTTCTGTTACGTGCATTTTATATATATATATATATTTTTATTTTATATATTTTGATGGTTGAATAATGTGAATGTATTATGTTTTTTTATTTTTATTTATTTATTTTTTGAGACAGAGTACCCTCTGTTGCCCTGGCTAGATTGCTGTGGTGCCAACCTAGCTCACAGCAACCTCAAACCCCTGGGCTCAAGTGACCCTCCTGCCTCAGCCTCCCAAGTAGCTGGGACTACAGGCACATGCCACCGTGCCTGGCTAATTTTTTCTATTTTTAGTTGCCTGGCTAATTTTTTTTTTACTTTTAGTAGAGAAGGGGGTCTCGCTCTTGCTTAGGCTGGTCTCGAACTCCTGAGCTCAAGAGATCCTCCCCCCTCAGCCTCCCAGAGTGCTAGGATTACAGGCGTGAGCCACCTCGCCCAACCTGAATGTATTATCTATTCAGAAAATTAAGTTAGGCTGGGCGCAGTGGCTCATGCCTATAATCCCCACATTTTGGGAGGCCGAGGAGGGAGGATCATTTGAGGCCTGGAGTTCAAGATCAGCCTAGGCAACACAGTGAGACCCCCATCTCTACAAAAAAAATTGTTAAAAATTAGCCAGGTGTGGTGACATGGGCCTGTAGTCCCAGCTACTCAGCAGGCTGAGGTGGGAGGATCCCTTGAGTCCAGGAGTTCGAGGTTGCGGTGAGCTATGATCGGGCCACTGCACTCCAGCTTGAGCGGCAAAGCAAGACGTGTCTTTGAAAAAAAAAAAATTAAGTTAAAAAAGCACAAAATCACAAAAAAAGGAGGATAATCCCATAGACCAAAGTGGCAAAAGAATGAGCCCTTCATCCTGTCAGCTGGGCAGGGGACACCCAGACCCGGGAAGGAGAGGAGGATTGGTCGTGCAGAGGAGGAAGGAAGGCAGGAAGGAAGCCAGGTGCCTCCAGTTGCTCTGCGTGCTCATAAAAGCCTTCTCGAGCAGGAGTCTGGAATTTCTCTTCCCAGAGTGTCATTTGGTTACAGGCCTAATCGTTCCCTAAACTTAGGCATGCTTATGTGGTTTGGGAAGTCTTGTCATTTTTGAAAATGTAAACATTTTTACACACGTCCTTCAAAAAACTAGGTCACCCCTAAAGCAATGACATCCTTTGAAGTTGCTTGATTTCCCGGCACCTCTTCCCTTCCCCAGCCAACTCTGATATCCTGGAAAAAAAAATTGCTAAATCCTATGTATTTGCTTGAAAGATTGATTTTTGAGAATCTTATGACACTGCTTTAAGAGAACTGGCAACACCCTGGGGTGTTGCAAAACCCAATTTGGGAGAGACTGCCTTTGATCAGCAAGAAGCCACAGCCAAGACTGGGGCCCAGTGGGGCCTGCACCGCTCTGGCATGACTTGGGGGGACAGGCGCGGGGGAAGGGCCAGAGGCTGCTTCTTCACCTCCACCCACCGGGCGTTTCCACGGATCTGAAGGCCTGCTGGGGTACTTCCTGGGCATGGAAGGCATTTGCCTGAGAGCCCCGAACGAACCCTGCTCATGGGTGAGTGGCTGGGTCACTGGGAGATGAAGTTGGTTCTTTTTCCTCAGGGATAATTTTAGGTTCTTACTTCTCCAGTCTTCCTAACTCCCAACCCCTGGCTCAGCCTCCCAGAGGGATTGCTTAGACCAGTGACTATACAGCGTTCTTTTGAAATACGGAGCTGTTCAAAAGCGACTCGCTAGGGCATGGCCCTGGAGGCATTTTCCATGATCATTTTCCCCCCTCCGGTCCCCTCGTTTCAGGGGAGGAGGCGAGACAGCTCGAGGACCAGGTCCTGACGGGCCCTAGTGAAGGTATCGTGGCTTTCTGCCCCTCAACTTGAACTTGGGGGCTTATTTCCCAGTTTCACACCCAAACTGAGAGGAGCTGGTCTAGAGGGTGGGAGGGCTTGGGTTGGCAGAACTAAGCCTTTTAGTTCTGGGCGAGGAAAGAGAGAAAGGAAGGGGTCTCCGGCTTGTCAGGGGAGGGAGGCCTCCAACGAGGCCGTGGGAGAGGCCTCAGCAGAGTTAAAACACCAGGCCTGGCAGTCCACGGACTCAAGGTGAACCTGTGAGTTCCTCACCTCAACGCCTTCTAGTTTTTAAAGGTTCACGAATAAAATCTTCAAGGAAGTGGAGCGAACGCTTTACCATGGGGGTGGGGGATGATGATGGAAGATTCGTGGGCAGGTGACGGTGAGCATCCATTTTTAGTGTCTTTATGACAGAAGAACTTTAAGGGAAAGGGGTCTGTCCAGAAGACTGGTAGGTGGACAGGTGGCGGAAGGGGCGGTGCAGAGCGGGGAAGATGGAGGAATCCAATCGCTCTGGCATCGCAGGTTACCTAACGCAAGATCCAAACGCAAGTGGGCAAGCAATGAAAAAAACTCCTGAAACGTGGTAATTTTCTTCTGTAGTTGTTCTTAAAAAGAACAGAAAACTGGAGGAGAAAAGAGGGTAAGTGAAATAGAAGAGGGGAAAGGGACGAATCTCACTGGGATTAGGTCTTGGGAGAGGAGAGGATTGGTGTCTGCTCATCATTACTTTGTTTAAAATACCTTAGCAGAGGGCCAGGGCCGATGAGGGGCGACTACCGTGCATGGTTCTGCTTGAGCCGGGAGGGTCCCCTTTTCCTCTGACTTGGTAAAGGGTGGGGTGCAAGTTCGCTCTTCCCCTCGCCCCCAGTGTTGCTGCTGGACCTTCTGAGAAAGCAGGCGCAGGGCTCCAGGAAACTGGTGCCAAGGGAGTGCTGTGCTGAGTCCACGCGCCTGGCCGTGGTAGGGGTGGACAGACCGTGGCAGAGGAGTCGGGGCATCTGCTACTCCAGCTTTGCCTAAAGGAAAAGTGGAGCATCCATTCTGCCTCCTTCCCCAGCCTCCGAGTCTCCTCCCGAGGCCCCTCCATTGAGACTATTGGCCGCTGCCCCTTTAAGCGCAGCCACTCCTCCCCCCAGAGCGGTGGCACCAAGGGAGTGGGGAGGGGGTAGGCGAGCATCCGCATCCCTTCAACCGGGGAAGATGGCCCAGGCTGGGGGATTCGCTCCCACGCCCCGCTGCCCCCTCCCCTGAGCCGGGTGATCTGGGAGACTCCCTCCCTCCGTCCCTCCCGCCCCACGCGCGACAAGGGGATGGCTCCGTGGCCTCACGGGAACAGTTCTCTGGCCTCGTGGCCAGACGCCCCTACCCTGGCGCCCAATACCGCCAACACGAGTGGGCTGCCAGGGGTGCCGTGGGCGGCGGCGCTGGCCGGGGCGCTGCTGGCGCTGGCGGTGCTGGCCACCGTGGGAGGCAACCTGCTGGTAATCGTGGCCGTCGCCCGGACGCCGAGACTCCAGACCATGACCAACGTGTTCGTGACTTCGCTGGCTGCGGCCGACCTGGTGGTGGGACTCCTGGTAGTGCCGCCGGGGGCCACCTTGGCGCTGACTGGCCACTGGCCGTTGGGCGCCACTGGTTGCGAGTTGTGGACGTCGGTGGACGTGCTGTGTGTGACGGCTAGCATCGAAACCCTGTGCGCCCTGGCCGTGGACCGCTACCTGGCCGTGACCAACCCGCTGCGCTACGGCGCACTGGTGACCAAGCGCCGCGCCCGAGCAGCGGTGGTCCTGGTGTGGCTCGTGTCCGCCGCGGTGTCGTTTGCGCCCATCATGAGCCAGTGGTGGCGCGTAGGGGCGGACGCCGAGGCGCAGCGTTGCCACTCCAATCCGCGCTGCTGCGCCTTCGCCTCCAACATGCCTTACGTGCTGCTCTCCTCCTCCGTGTCCTTCTACCTTCCGCTTCTCGTGATGCTCTTCGTCTACGCGAGAGTGTTCGTCGTGGCTACGCGCCAGCTGCGCGTGCTGCGCGGGGAGCGGGGCCGCTTTCCGCCAGAGGAGTCTCCGCCGGCCGCGTCGCGCTCTCGGTCCCCCGCCGCGCCGGGGACGTGCGCCTCGCCGAAGGGAGTGCCCTCCTGCGGCCGGCGGCCCGCGCGCCTGCTGCCTCTCCGGGAACACCGGGCCCTGCGCACGCTGGGGCTCATCATGGGCACCTTCACTCTCTGCTGGTTGCCCTTCTTCCTGGCCAACGTGCTGCGCGCCCTCGGGGGCCCCTCTCTAGTCCCCAGCCCGGCATTCCTTGCCCTTAACTGGCTAGGCTACGCCAACTCCGCCTTCAACCCGCTCATCTACTGCCGCAGCCCGGACTTTCGCAGCGCCTTCCGCCGCCTCCTGTGCCGCCGCGGGCGGGAGGAGCCCCGCGCCGCCGCCTCCCCGGCCCGCGTCCCCTCGGGCGCCCCCGCAGCCCTGAGCAGCCCCGCGCAGTCCAGGCAGTGCCCGCCGCTCGACGGGTAGGTCACCCGGGCGAAGGGACGGGTAGGTCACCCGGGCGAAGGGACCGGCGGTGCAGGGTCGGGAAGCGTTGCGTGTCTCTTTCGGTTGACTTTTTGAATTTGGGGGTTGCTAGGAGAAAGTGGGGGTGGCTCTGCCTGGAGAGAACAGGGAACAGGGAGCAGGGAACCCAAACGGATCCGACCACCGGGGTTGAAGCAAAGGAGGGCAGACGGGCTGTGCTTCGCCCTGGGACCCAAAGGTGCCCCACGGGGAGGAACGTGCTGCCGCGCCCCAGGCCTGTGTCCCGCCGGACCGGCTCTAGCTTTGGTTTTCTGGCTCAGTTCTTTGGCCGCCTAGATTTCTTGCGGTCACTAGACCTGGCTCTCGCATTTGAAGAGAGGGCTGATGGCTGTCCTACCCTTTCAGCCTCCGTTCTGGTTTCTCTCCAAGGTTTGATGGCTATGAAGGTGAGAATCCACTTCGGGTGTGAAGGACAAGAGGAGGGGCCCCTGTGAGTGCGAATTTGTGCCCTGCCCGGGCTGGGTTGGAGTCGGGAGGTGGGATGTTTGTGGCTGGGTGGTGCCCGGATGCTTTCCAGGGTCCTTGATCTCTGCCCCTCTCTGCCCCTCTAGTTCCCACCCTCTGCTTTCCATTCCCACCCTCTGCTCCTTCACCCCAAGGTATGTTCTGTCCATTTTCAGGGCTTCCTGGGGAGTCTCTTAGGTCTGAAGGACAAGAAGCAACAAACTCCATTGACCCAGAACCTTCGGAAAGCCTCTGGCCTCTGTACAGAATGAGCCCGGAATCCCCCGGCTGCAAACTCTGCCCTCCAGAGCCTGAGGGATGGCCCGTGGCATGGGGAGGGCGTCCCTACCAAGTGGGTTTCACCACCCTCTCCGTCTCTCTTTCTGAGAAGAGTTTTCTAAACCCCACCCCTGGACTTCACTGGTACCTTGGAAGTAGTGCTCAGCTGCCCTGGAGTAGCCGGGCTGGCTTTGGTTGGGGCACCTAGCACCTTGGGCAGTTGTGTGCTTCATGATCGGGGCAGAGAGAACACCCCGGTTCCCTCACTGCTGCTGTCCAGACCCTGGTGAGCCACTCGGGGTTCTCTAGGCGCTGTGGCCCCGGCGGAGAGCAGCGCCGGCTAGAGAAGGTCAAGGTTTGGGGTTTGTCCTGGGCTCCCTCTGCAAACAACAGCCCCTCTCACTTTAGCCACGGAACAGCTCCGATCTACCTCACGGCAGTGTCAGGAAGATGTCTGCAGGGTTTGGGGGGACTCCAGGGTTCATAGGAAGGTGAACCATTAGAACGGATCCCTTATTTTCCTTTTAAAATCAAATTAATAAATATTACCGAATGCAGTTTATCCTTTGCCCTCTTTTCTCTCCATTTGTTTTCTTTTCATAATCCACATATTGCCTTCCCTTCAGCTTAGAGCTGGCTTTTGACAGAGGCCATAAATTATGACTAATCCTTGCCCCTTTCTTCCTAATCCTCATCAAACAAAAAATGAAGAGTCTGTTTGGATGGAGGGGAGTGAGCTTGAGCCTTTGACTCTCCTGCTTCCCCACCCTTTCTGCAACTCCTGGCGACCAGTTGCAAGTGAGCAGCAAAGCCGCGCTACCCGCAAGACGTCAGCGGGGTTCCCACCGTGGCCAGGCTCAGGGCACGGGGCATTTGTCATCTCCCATGCTATAAACCAGTGGTGGATTCACAAGGGGCCATTGCCACCAGGAACTAGTTTTGTTCAATGCCTTACGTGCGTGTGTGTGGGCACAGAGCATTGTTTGTACTGGGCAAATGTCTCGTGTTATAAATATATTCTGATGTTTCCCAGCCTCTGCGTGACTTCTACTGTTCCACTCATGCTTCCCGTGCTACAGAAATCTGTATTATCCTCTTGAAGTGAAACTGGAGTTACAAATTTGAGCCTGTGGATAGTTTTTTCCTATGGAAAGAAAATTTCTATGGAAATCACTGGATCATTTTGTGGGTTCTTATTCACGCTCCACGAGCAAAGACCATTGTCCAGGCTGATTTACAGGATACCTGGCAAATCGCAAATGTTGCACTATGTCACTCATGTGATACAGTACACAAAGCATTGGCGAGGATCCTGAGCTCCGGAGTTATAAACCTTTGATCTGCTCTCAGGACAAGCTTGCTGGATTTCCACATATGGGTGTTCCCTGTGAATTGGACCTGTCTATGCTGCCCTCTGTACTCCAGGAGCCCAGGTTTTATTTCTTAGGATGTTTGCATACCAAAGATGACTCTCTTTTTCAACCCTGAGCAGTGCGAGATCTCCCCTGTCTGAGGTGTGGACGTTTTCTTGGCAAGGACTCAATCTTTGAACTGTGGCTCTTAGTGGAGGAGGAAGTTCTTGCTTGATAAAAAAAAGAGCCTCCTCTCCCCATTTCTGGATATTTTCCCAACATCACTGAGCAAAGTTGGCCAGTAAGTCCTCTGGTTTGTACAATTGTCCTTGAACGTTGTCCAGAGCTCATACTGCCGGGGTCTTGCTCGACACGCACCCATGTGCCAGCTGTGAGACTCCTTTGGAATGTTTAGATTTGTACTGGAGCTGTGGATTCCATCTGCGGATTGTGACCCGTGCCTCTGACAGATGGAGAGGCAGTCCCTGTGGTCACTGCTCCAGCAGCTTGCAGCCAGGTGTCAAGCTGAGGGAGATTTACATCCGTGGATGGGAGCTTTTGCTAGCACAGGCCTGAGCTCGCCAACTGCCAAATGCGCAAGACATACAGCCAGCCATCCTTTGCACCCAGGGTGTGAAGACTCACAGACCAACGAGAAAGACAGAGCCCCTGGCCTCCCTAAGTCTGCTAGCGGGAGCTGGGATGTGGCAGATGACAGGGAAAAGGGGCCTGAGTTGGAGAAAGACAGTGTTTTTATTTTCTTTTTCTTTTGAGACAGAGTCTCACTCTGTTGCCCTAGAGTGAGTGCCGTGGCGTCAGCCTAGCTCACAGCAACCTCAAACTCCTGGGCTTAAGTGATCCTCCTGCCTCAGTTTCCCAAGTAGCTGGGACTACAGGCACGAGCCACCACCCCCGGCTAATTTGTTGTTTCTATTTTTAGTTGATTGGCTAATTTTTTTTTTCTATTTTTAGTAGAGATGGGGTCTCGCTCTTGCTCAGGCTGGTCTTGAACTCCTGACCTCAAGCAATCCTCCCACCTAGCCTCCCAGAGTGCTGGGATTGCAGGCGTGAGCCACCGCGCCCGGCCAGACCGGAGTTTTCAGAGGCGACCTACCCTCCGCGCCAGGTCGGCTAAGGAGGAGGTTGCCGGACTCCCCGCAACTCTCCCCGCGGTCGGTTCCACCGGGACTGGAGGGGAGTCCGGGCTGTGACCCTCGCGGGCCCTCCCTGGCTGTAAATCCACACCGGCTGCATCCCTCGGCCCCCACGGGGTAGGGGCAGCTTCCGCCCTCTGTGTGTTTTCAGGGTGCCCACGAGGTCCCGGGGCCTGGGAGAGGCTAGGAAATAGGGCTCCTCTCTGTTTCCACCCTAAAAGCCAAAGACCCAGGCCCCCTTCAGGCCTCTTGGCGGACTGTGTCCGCGCGCGCCCGTCGGAGGCGGCAGCAGCTGGGGACTCCGCCGGGCCCCGGCCCCGGGCGCCGCCCGCTCCGCGCGGTTCGAGCCGCCGCCACGACGCGCACCCGGTTCAGTTCGCAGAAACCGCACGAGGCCATCTGATCTGGCATCTCTCGTCCCTTTATGAGATCAAAGGAAATGAAACTGCCGCTCCCCGTTTCCTCGTCTATAAAATAAATAGACAGTAAACCTGACTGTCGTTTCTCGCCACGGAAGGGGGCGGGGCTCCGCGCCCGGAGCGGCCTGGGCGGGGCTTCGCGGCCTCGGCGTCGGCGCGCCCCCTGATGGCCATGCGAGGCGCGGCAGGCGCCTTGTTAACGTTGTCCCCAGACCCGCAGCCAGAACTGCAGCTTCCAGGAGGCCCGGGCTGTCAGGGCTGGAAGAGACCACAGAAAAAATTTGTTCCAATCCTTTGATAAAATGGTCGCAGGAACTGATTTCTAGAGAGGCGTAATGAATACTCAAAATGACTTCAGTCATCGAAAGGCAGCACTGTGCTATTGAGCACAGAATTCAGAGAGGGAAACACAAGTAAAAAGGAAGGAAGGAAATGACCATTTATGGAGCGCTTGCTGTATGCCAAGCACTGTAAGAGGCGCTCCACAAATGCTGTGATATATAATAGTGACAACAAACAAAAACTAGAGCTTCATAGAAATCAAATAGCTTGCTCGCGTTGATTCAAACCTAGTCTCACAGAGTCCAGAGTTCATTTTCTTTTCTCTAAAGCACTGCTGACAATCAGTTATGTGATGCTGAGCAAGTTACTTAGCCTCTCTGGCCTTTTGTTTGCCTGGGAATCAAATGGAGATTATGTTATTGCTCTAGGTAGCTCATGCCGACTGGTTTTGGAGACCCAAAGAGACAGTGTATGTGAAAGAGGCTTGGAAACTGAAAGGGCTCCTTCAGTGCAGATGGTGGCATCAGAGTCTGGGGCTAGAATGAGTCCCCGGTCTCCTGGTTTTGATCCCTGTGCGGCCCTGCTTCTGTGGACAGCCTGGGTCTTGCACTCACATGTCCTTGGTCACTGTGGGCATGCCCTGCCTGGTCCCTCTTCTGCAGGTCTGTACCTGCCGCAGACTAATGCCCTTGGTTTTCTGTCCCTGTCACTATACTCCGCTACCTCTGCTCTATTAATATTTCTATGTTCAGACTCTGGGCTGGCCTGTGCCCCATATTTTGGCCCTGGTTTGAATCACCCCACTGTTGCCGATGCAGCATTTACAATGAGGTAAGTTTTGAGGATGGGTAGAATGCGTGTAACAGAGAGCATCTCTAGGTGCCAGGACCTTCTGGTCCATTACTGTAGGGGTTGTTCATGGGAACAGAGCCCTAAGGAACCAGAAAGGGGAGGGAGGGCATATAAATTTGCTAGGGCTGCCATGACAAATTACCACAAACTGAATGGCTTAAAACAACAGAAATTTATTCTGTCATAGTTCTATAGACTAGAAGTCCAAAAGGAGGATGTTGGCAGGGTGGTGCTCAAACTGAAGGCTCTAGGGGAGGATTCCTGCCTTGCCTCTCCCAGCTCTCTGGTGGTTGCTGGCAATCCTTGGCACTGTTTGGCTGGTAGCTGTATCTCTCCAACTTCTCCCCCTGTCTGTGTCCAGATTTCT